CAAGCGTGCGGCCCTGACAGAATACAAGCGGTCACCAACTCAGAAGAACCTTCAAATTCTCAGATCAACTAGGAGCAAGGCTCAACACATTGCCAGATATTGCGCAAACGAGTATTGGCAAGAGCTCAGCAACGACATCCAGAAAGCAGCCATAGCGGGGAACATAAGAGGCATGTACAACGGCATTAAGAAAGCGCTAGGCCCCACCCAGTGCAAAACGGCACCCCTTAAGTCATCTACTGGGGAAATAATCTCCGACAAGCAACAACAGATAGAGAGATGGGTGGAACACTACTCCGACCTCTACTCTAGACAGAACACGGTGTCCTCCGCAGCACTAGACGTCATTAAATGCCTGCCAACCATGGAAGAACTTGACGAGGAGCCAACAGCAGAAGAGCTCAGAAAGGCTATCGATAAACTGGCCTCAGGCAAAGCCCCTGGCAGCGACGGGATTCCTCCAGACTTGCTGAAACAGTGCAAGGATTCCCTACTGCACCCTCTTCACAAAGCCCTCTGTCAGTGTTGGAAAGAAGGGGCCGTACCGCAGGATATGAGGGATGCTAAGATCATCACCCTCAACAAAAATAAGGGTGAGAGAAGTGATTGCAACAACTACAGAGGCATCTCCCTTCTTAGCATCGTTGGAAAAGTATTTGCTCAGGTCATCTTGGCCCGACTGCAGAAGCTGGCTGAACGTGTTTACCCGGAGTCACAGTGTGGTTTTCGCGCCGAACGGTCAACGGTAGACATGATTTTCTCCCTCAGACAACTGCAGGAGAAGTGTAGAGAACAGCAGATGCCCCTATACATCTCCTTTATTGACCTCACCAAAGCCTTTGACCTGGTCAGTAGAGACGGACTTTTTAAAATCCTCCCCAAGATTGGCTGCCCACCAAAACTGCAGAGTTTGATTGAATCTTTCCACACAGATATGAAGGGAACAATCCAGTTCAACGGCAGTTGCTCTGAGCCTTTCAGTATAAGCAGTGGCGTCAAGCAAGGCTGCGTTCTTGCCCCCACACTGTTCGGAATTTTCTTTGCCCTGCTCCTAAGGCATGCCTTTGGTTCAGCAACGGAAGGAATCTACCTCCGCACCAGGTCAGATGGCAAGCTATTTAATCTTTCTCGCCTGAAAGCCAAAACAAAGGTACGCGAGACACTGATTAGAGACATGCTTTTTGCTGACGACGCTGCAGTCACCACACACACCCAGGAAGAACTACAGTCGCTGATGACCCGTTTTTCCATGGCCTGCAAAGACTTTGGGCTGACCATCAGTTTGAAAAAAACAAATGTCTTGAGCCAGGACACTGCCACTCCACCAACCATCACAGTAGATGATTACCAGCTCGATGTCGTCCACCAGTTCACGTACTTGGGCTCCACCATCACCGATAACCTCTCCCTGGATGCTGAACTTGACAGGAGGATCGGGAAGGCAGCCTCTACTCTAGCCCGCATGACAACCCGAGTGTGGACAAACCATAGGCTGACAACTGCAACAAAGATGGCAGTGTACAATGCTTGCGTCATCAGCACTCTGCTGTATGGGAGTGAGACATGGACCACCTATGCAAGACAGGAGAGGAGACTGAACACCTTCCACCTAAGAGGTCTGCGTCGCATTCTGGGCATTATCTGGCAGGACAAAGTCTCCAACGTCAAAGTCTTGACTCGAGCCGGCCTTCCCAGCATGTGTACCATGCTCCGACAACGTCGCCTGCGCTGGCTTGGCCATGTGTGCCGTATGGAGGATGGGAGAATCCCAAAGGATATCCTTTACGGAGAACTCTCATCTGGGAAGAGAACAACAGGACGCCCATTTCTGAGATTTAAAGATGTTGTGAAGAGGGACATGAAGGCCCTTGACATAAACACCAAGTCCTGGGAAGACCTCGCAGCAGACCGCCTGAAATGGAGGTGCACCCTGACCAAACAGCTCAAGTCAGGTGAGAAGAACATGATGCGTGCGTCAGAGGACAAGCGAGTTCACCGAAAGGTGCAGAGCGTCAGCCAGGGAGCCACCTATCAATGCGACTGCTGTGGTAAAAAATGCCTCTCCCGTATTGGTCTCTTCAGCCACCAACGACGCTGTCTTAGACAATCAGTCATGCCTCAATATAAGAGCTAGGATACGTCATCCATGGTCAACACTGACCGACGGAGGCCTACTAAACTCAGTACTTTAGATCCTCTGAGCAGCTCTTTGTCTGTTATGGTGGACGGCAGCAGGGAAGTGCCGTGTCCAAACAAAGATTATCCCACTGGGTTGTGGAGGCCATTTCTTGTGCTTATTTGAGCAGAGGTCAGCCGCGTCCCCCGGGAGTGCGAGCGCACTTAACTCGGAGCGTTGCATCCTCTTGGACATGTGTACGCGGCGCGTCTTTAACAGACATTGTTGAGCTGCGGGCTGGGCGACACCCAACACATTTGCAAGGTTTTACAATCTGCGAGTGGAGCCGGTTTCCTCAAGGGTATTAGGTAACCCTTGATGATTAAGGAAACAACTCGGTAGGGTGTTGTAACACGCTTGCGGTGCCTTTTTTCCCCTAACACGGAGAGATGTGCACCTTCCTGTCTGTCAGTAAAGTTACCCGTTCGGTGAGCCCTGCAGATTCCTCCGAGGCCCCCAGCACTGACTCAGCGGAGGAGTCACTTGCTGGCCCACTACGTTAGGTCTGCCCGCTGGTCAGCCCACGTTTTTGGGTATAGGTGCCGGCTATGTGCGATCCCCTCTGGAGATCCCATATGCTTATTCCGCCACGGTTAAGCCCCCCCCCCTGGATGGACCCGTGTCTTCCCTATCCGCTAACCACCTTCTTATGCGCACTCCCCCTCCTTAGGGTTAGTCCATATGTAATTCCATTTTGTCTCCCTTATTGGGTATGGATGGTCTCCGCAGCATCCTCCCTACCGGGATTGCACGCTTCCCAACGTACTGTCGTATTTCCTAGAATTATCTAGACGCTAGCGACTCCCAAAAAAATATACCTATTCCATAAAGCTTCTTTTGTAGTGGGGATAAGTTAGGGCCAAGGGCACGTTGGAGGACTGTGCCTTCTATGATTTGGGTACGTCACGCTTGCCTAACTGCCCTCTCATCGGAGGCGTTGGTAAGGTGCAGTCATTATGGCGTTTTCAATGGCTCCCATAGGTGGATTTTAACATCAAATCCACTTATAGCACTGGAGTTCCCCAGCCGAAGGGGAACCTTCGAGGTTACTAAAGTAACCCTTTGTTCCCCGAGGAGGGGAACTGAAGTGCTATACTCCTCGCCATAATGACTGTCCCTTAGCTGTTTAAAAGTCTCTTCAGCTTAAAAAGGGTGGCGTTTGCTGGCGCAAGGTGTGCTTATATGCTCAGTTAATTGGCAATGCAGCACACCTGCGTAAGCTTACGCTGCCAATTCATTGTTTTATTGGCCCGTTCAATACTCTTTCAGACAAGCGGCTTCTAAACCGAAACCTCCCATACGTGGATTTTAACATCAAATCCAATTATAGCACTTCCGTTCCCCTCCTCGGTTAACGAAGGGTTACTTCTGTAACCTCGAACGTTCTTCTTTCTAATTGATCTAAGTTCCAATTTTCTTCTGTGACTTTACATTGAGTTTCATCAAATTGATCGATGTGTAGACATTAAACGAATTCATTTCAATTATTTTTACAATGGGTATACCCCAGCGATCAATATTAGGCTTTTTATTATTTAGCTTGCATATTAATGATCTCCCAAAGCAATGTGAAGGCATGCAAGTGCAAATGTATGCCAAAAGCAATATTATTGTTATACGTGTGAGAACAGCAGAGTCAGCAGCTGATAAGTCTATGTCGTGATGAAAACAAATGTCAACAAAATGATCTAAAACAAATGTCAATCCCCCAAGGCTAATACATTTACTAGTGGTAAAAAGAAAGTGGCTCTAAGTTTAACTACATGAGATAAATACTACTGTTTAAAAAAACATATAAAGAAAAATGTGGGAACTATTAAAAATAATGTAATTATCTTTAGACAGACTTTGTCTTTCTAATGATGTATACAATCATGTATGCTACAATTTTTTGGACTTGTCATATTGTCTGACATGCTGGGGAGAAGAAGGAGAATCTGTTATTTAACCACAAAAATTTCTTTAAAAGGCGATTTTTAAAAACTCTTGATAAAAATTCCAATCAACACCATCACTGTAGGGCAGGGGTCAACAATTTCATTCCTGGAGGTCCGGTGTTCCTGAAGGATTTAGCTCCAACTTGCCTTAACACACCTGCGTTGGTGTTTCAAGTACACCTAGTAAGACCTTGATTAGCTTGTTCAGTTGTGTTTGATTAGGGTTAGAGCTAAAATCTGCAGGACACCGGACCTCCAGGAACAAGTTTGGTGATACCTCCTGCAGGGTGTTGGAGAAATACAGTTTTGATAATTTTAGAATTTATTTTAATTAGTGTATAATTTATAAAATTATAAACAGCTTGGCCCCTACAATGTATAAAAAGGCAACAATAATGTTCCTAAATAGTCCCTTTTCATATAAAATGTAATAATAATAATAATAATAATACACAATAGATATTGCACAAATGAGAATAATGTACAAATTCATATGAATTAGTTTCTAAACTAAAAAGTTACCTATTGTGCTTTGAAATTCTGAAAAATAAGATTACAGTGAATATTCAGTTCTGCTGCATCATTTTCAGTCTTTAAACACCTAATTATTTTGTTCAAGTATTTCATTAAAAAAAATAATTCTGAAATAACAACGGTTATGTTATTTTTTTATCATCATTTCTGAGAATGTAATTTTTGTTTTAAACTAAGATTTGTTTTATTTGTTTATAATTTACACTTTGGTTGCTAAAGATGTCCCTTTTATTGCATAACATAGTGTTTATGTACAATTTTTAGATTTTTAAAGCTTTATGAAAGCTGTTGTCCATAATATATACAAGCATAAAATTGTACTGTTTAGGAATAAGCAAAAGTCAAGTGCTCACCTATACAGTATCCAGGTATGATATGTATTTCAAAAACAGCAACACTATTTCCCATTCCTCTGCTAGGTTTAGCCTCAAACAATAGCTAAATGTCAAAAACAAAAGAAAGAAAGTGAAACAATCAGGGTTATAACAGTTAAAAATGCACCAGCTGTTGTCTATAGCCTAAAAAAACCCTCTAACTCATTTCAATAGGGAACAGTTTCACACAGTATAATTTTAGTATAAATACAATATCAGAAAGTTTACATCATACGCTGCCAGTCAAAACTAGCATAATAGATCCCCTTTATTTCCAATCATAATTCATAACACTTGTTATTAAACAAAGTCAATCACTATCCATCTGTTTACAAAGGCCATGTATTACACTTAGTCTATCTTTCCAAAAGTAATGCCCAGAAACAAAACATCACTATTAGCAGAGTAAAAGTGTTTGTCTAATCGACAGAGAGGCATACTTTACAAAGCCCTCTTTTCTTCAACTCTGCTCCATTTAAACCCCCTTTAAACTAACAATCCTCCAGAAGACTATAAATAGTGCTGACTACATTATATAGCTTACACAGCGGCCTTGTTTCCCTGTTTTGCATTGAAATGATACCTGGTAAGTTCCAGAAATGTTACGAAGGTCCACACTTGCGATGAGCCAACTGTCTGAGGGTTTCTCTGCACTCCATAACATGTAGTCAAAGTTTTCCTCCTCGGATCGCAAGTGCAATTGAAGAGATCCTGAGCCTGAGATCTGATAGACCAGCCGCACACAGCTCCAGTCTCTGAGCTCCAGCTCCGGACTTACTAGCACATGCTTCTCTTTTTCTCCAAAGGACAAGGATTCTGCTGTGATGAAGCGACCTGAAAGAAATATTTAAACACTGATGAAAACACATGCATGAATTATGTCACAAGTATAAAAACTGAATATAAAACACTTCAACACTCCTGTTACCCTAAAATCTGATAACATGTTTTATCCACTGGGGTTAATTTGACCCCAGCAATTTAAAACCTTCAGAATAGGATTTTTCTTTGCCAAAAGTTTATTGACAGGTAGTTGACTACCTAACAACACTCTGAAATACACACCTCCACTCTCTAGTCCCAACCCACCCACCCACTTCATGCCCCTTATACATACAGATTAATACAGTTGACCTATTGCATTACTATAGACATCTTTACAAATCAGCATTAAAACTCACAGTTTCACCTAAATTTAGAAAAGTATATATGTATTTGTTGTTTTATTAGTGTTGTACTTTTTTTTTTTTTGGTACATATTTTCAATATTTGTAACATATGAAAAGTATTTTAAAAATTTTCATGGACAGGAATAACACTATGTATGAGGTCAAATTGACATTAAAAAAAACAAAAGGACAGCAGTCACGAAATGGAACCAAACATTTATCCACAGTGATGTGGGGGCCTGGATTGTAAAGAAAGGGCATCCGCTTGACCCACTTATCCCATACTTCCGTATTACTGCGAGTTTGTCATGCTCTTGTCTGCCCTTCCTTGTTACTTTTTCATCAAAGTGCATGACGTATGAGAAAACATGGAATGTCTTTAAAGACATGATGGCTGGAAATACGGACATTATCTATATGGAGTTTCACATAATCATACTCATTAGGACTCTAACATGCCAATGCATACATTTAATTCGGCTATACGGTTATATTATTAATATTTTTGTCAGTTGAAATGTTTGGCACAGATGTTATGTATTTCATAATATTTACATGTTGATCCGGTGCTCGCGGACAGTTCTTGCCCGTATTGCGATGACTTGACTGTTGCGCAACTGAGGTCGCGGCGAGCTCTTTTATTAGGGCAAGTCACCCCTGCTGCTCCCTGCCAAGTGTTTAGCACTCGGCCAGGCCTGAGGGTTACAGTGGGGGCTAATCCATCGCTTTCGAGCCTGTGGACCCCTCGCTCCTCGCCAATGTGCTGGTACATCCTCCGGGCTGGCCGCCCTTTCATTAGATGACACCGGGGGCGTGACGTGCATCACTGCATTGGAGGGTGAGTTGACAAGCTCTGGGGAAGATCCGGACCCCCTGCCACCCTCCGGGGTTGTCAGTATAATTACAGATCAGGAATTAGACATGTTAGCCGTGTTAACCCGGACTGCTTCGGCCGTGGGGCTGAGGATGGCTTGTCCTCCAGAATCGTGGCCGGTCCGCTTAGACAGGTGCTACGTGGGGGTGTAGAAAAAGGCAAAGCCTTCTTCTAGACCCCCGTCCCCATCTCGTGGAGATTTGCCCAAACTCCCTTCCAAGGCATGCCGGTTATCTGAGTATCTCATGGCCAGAGCCTACACTGCTGCAGGTCAGGCCGCCTCCGCTCTGCACGCTACAGCCACCTATCAACGCTACCAAGCTGAGAAGCTGGCCAAGATGCAGGAGGGAGGTTCTCCCCCGGGCTTGCTGCATGAGCTCCGCATGGCAACCGGTTATGCTCTCATAACTACCAAATCGGCTGCTTGTGCCCTGGGGAAGACGATGGCCACATTAGTGGTCCAGAAACACCACCTTTGGCTGAGCTTGGCTGATATGAGTGACGTTGACAAAGCTCGCTTTCTTAACGCTCCCATATCCCAGGCTGACCTGTTCGGCAACACCGTTGGGTTCACCCAGGAATTCTCCGTGGTGAAAGAGCAGTCGAAGGCGATGGGTGAAGTAATTTATCAGCGGGCTCGGAAAACTGCTCCTCCCACTGCCCCTTCCGCTGTGGCAGCTCCTCGCCAAGGGCATCCACCCGCGGCTTCAACAACCACTCTGCTTCCGCTGCCCGCTTCCCACGGGACTGCGATGCCACCGGGCCAGGGTGCCGTTAAGTCCGGTAAACGGACAACGAAGCGTTTCCAGGATGGGCCATTCAGAGAAGAGAGGACCTGCTCTTTCCTCGGAGGGGGGCCAAGGATTATTACATCAGTCCACTACGACTCTAAACTAATCGCTGCCGGCCTCTGGGCCAACGGCACCCAAATTTCCAAAAGAGCAGTTTCCTCTCTCTCTGGATGCGCAAACCCGAGCACAGCCAGTCTGGGACGCTCAGCCTTTCAGCTCGCAGCGCCGGGACCCCTCGCCTCAGGTGAGAGAAATTTTCTTATTTTCAGCTTTTCCTCGGGACGCACTCCCATCCCGAGCTGCCCCTCGTGATGCGATCCCTCAGATGGTGCCATTAGCGCGCGTTCTGTTGGCTTGGTAAGTGCTGCTCAGCGTGTTGCGGTGGCTCATACAGACGGTCAGACTCGGCTATACGATTCAGTTCGCTATTTGCCCTCCCAAGTTTACGGGTGTCCTTTTCACGAGGGTGATCGCCGAGAGCGCCCCTGTCTTTCTTGCGAGAGGAGATTGCTGTCCTCCTGGTGAAGGATGCAATCGAGCAGGTCCCTCCAGCCGAGATGAGGTCTGGGTTTTACAGCCCGCATTTCATCAGGTCCAAAAAGAGTGGGGGGTTAAGGCCAATACTAAATCTGCGCAGACTGAACTGTCATTTAAACAAAATTCCTTTCAGAATCCTCACGCAGAAATGCTTGATTCAAAGCAATGGTCAACAGGATTGGTTTGCAGCCATAGACCTGAAGGGTGCATGTTTTCACGTCTCTTAATTCTTCCACGCCACCGCTCTTTTCTCCGGTTCGCGTTCGAAGGAAGAGCATGGCAATACAAAGTCCTCACCTTCGGGCTCCCTCTGTCTCCGCGGGTTTTTACCAAGCTCGCAGAGGGTGCCCTAGCGATGATTGGCTCATTCTAGCCTTGTTCCGTGATCAGCTAATTATGCACAGAGACAAAGTGCTTCGGCACCTCGACCAGTTGGGGTTTTAGGTCAACCGAGAGAAGAGCAAACTTTGCCCTGTGCAGAGAATCTCTTATCTCGGGCTTGGAACTGGTTTTGGTCGCTATGGTTGCGCGCCTCTCTGAGGAGCATGTCAGGCTGATGCTTTCCTGTGTAAACGAGCTCCACAGGAAGGTAGTGGTCCCACTGAAATGTTTTCAGAGGCTCCTGGGGCATATGGCATCCGCAGCCACGGTCACGCCGCTCGGTTTGCTTCATATGAGACCACTTCGGCGTTGGCTTTGTGATCGAGTCCCCAGATGGGCATGGCGCGCGGGCACACACCGGGTGCGCATCACTCCGCTGTGTCTCCGCACTATGGACGGATCAGGTTTTTCTACGGGCCGGAGTGCCCCTAGGGCTAGAATCCAGGCATGTTGTCGTAATGACAGATGCCTCCAGCACGGGCTGTGGGGCCGTGTGCAACGAGCATGCAGCCACAGGTTCATGGTCCGGACCCCGCTTGCATTGGCATATCAACTGCCTGGAGCTATTGGCAGTGTATTTAGTTCTCTGCCACCTTTTACCAGTGCTGGAGCGAAAACACGTGCTGGTCAGGATGGACAGCATGGTGACGGTGGCTTATATCAACCATATGGGGGGTATATGCTCCCGCTGCATGTCTAAGCTCGCTCACCGTCTGCTCCTTTGGATTCACACGCGGCTGAAATCACTGCGTGCCATCCACATTCCGGGCAAGCTCAATCGTGCAGACGATGCGCTCTCACGGCGGCTAGTGTCCCGGCGAGAGTGGAGACTCCACCCCAATTTGGTCCAGCTGATATGGGCGCGCTTCGGGGAAGCCCTGATCTATCTATCTTCCACCAAGAACGCACATTGCCAGCTGCACGGATGCATTGGTCACAGCTGGCCATCGGGCATGCGCAAATATTTGTTTCCCCCAGTGAGCCTAATCGCACAAACTGTGCAAACTGTGCAAAGTCAGGGAGGGCGAGAAGCAGGTCTTGTTTGTTGCGCCCCTCTGGCCCAACCGGACATGGGTTTTGGAGCTCACACTTCTCGCAGTGGCCCCTCCTTTGCACATTCCCCTAAGGGAGGACCTTACCACCCGCGGTAGTTAACACCATCACTCAGGCTGGAGCACCCTCTACGAGGCATACCTATGCCCTGAAGTGGAGTCTATTCTCTGAATGGTGCGCTTCTCGCCGAGAAGACCACTGAACTTGCCAGATTAGCATTGTGTTATCCTTCCTTCAAGATAAGCTGGAGCGTAGGCTGTCACCCCATTATGACGCGGTAGATGGCAACAGGCTCGGAAAGCACAATCTAATCATCCGATTACTCAGAGGTGCGCGGCGGTTAAATCTGTCCCGCCCCCCTCTCATGCCCTCTTGGGATCTCTCTCTAGTCCTAGCGGGTCTGCAGAGAGATCCGTTCAAGCCACCGGAGTCAATATCTCTTAAAATTCTATTATTAAAGACAGCTCTGCTGATCGCATTGCCGTCATTCAAGAGAGTTGGAGATATGGAGGCATTTTCGGTCAGCGAATCGTGCCTTGAATTCGGGCCCAGTTACTCTCACGTTGTCCTGAGACCCCTGCCTGGCTATGTCTCCAAGGTTCCTACCACCCCATTTAGAGATCAGGTGGTGAACCTGCAAGCGCTGCCTTCGGAGGAGGTAGGCTCAACCCACTCACTGCTTTGTCCCGTTCGCGCTTTGCGCCTTTAAGTGGAACAAACGCAAAATGTAAGATCATGTGAACAGCTTTTTATCTGTTATGGTGGTCGGCAGAAGGGAAGTGCCGTATCAAAACAGAGGTTGGCCCACTGGTTAGTTGATGCCATTGCCCTCGCTTATTAATGACAGGGTGAACCGCGCCCTCCTAACGTGAGAGCGCACTCTACTAAAAGTGTTGCTTCCTCATGGGCGTTATCACACGGTGCCTTTCTCATGGATATCTGCAGAGCTGCGGTTTGAGCGACACCTAACACATTCACGTGGTCCTATAATCTTTGAGTGGAGCCAGTTTCCTCGATTGATTGGGTAAC